ACAATTTCACAATTGCACATCACGAAAAAACTCGCAATTCCAAAATTCATTCTTTTTAAGTATAATTTTGAAGATTTAAGATATAAGTTAAATAAAAGTTCCACTGTCGATGAATATAAGACTAAGAAGATCAAAGAAGCGTACTCATATATTTGGAGAAAGTTGAATTGCCACATACCACTAATAAGCGAAGCTTTGCATACAAACCTTGCGAGGTTTTGTAAACGTGGAGCGAGTCTATGTTTTTCACATCCTTTTAAATCCCTGTTTTAGTGATGGTGACAAGGTTTAGAACAGCTAATAATAATGAGGTTGAAGAGACCTTCATAAGTAGTAGAGCCACGCTCCAGCTGTACTATGGTTATGGCGCGAATGGGTCGGCTCAAATAGCAGCACAATACTGCTGTGTCTCGTATGGTGAGAACTGGAGGACCTTTTAACTGGAAACGAAGCATTGCATCTCATTTAATTGGGGATATATGTTAATATCTATGGGCTACTGCATCCACTTACAATTAGGTGGACTGTATGCTCGTTTTCAACCTTATTCTTTATAAAAGACATTAATTTTATTATTTTAATTAGTATTTAAAATAAAAATATTTTTACTTTTTTGTCAAATTTTATTTTTTGTTTGTTAATATTTTTTTTTCATAAATCTTTACATTTTACTGTAAAATCTCTCAAAAAGTTTGTTAGTGTAAGACGATTACTTAGAAAATATAATCTTGATTTTTATTGCAGAAAAAGCGTTTTATGTCTTTGGATTTGTGGATTTCTATTTTAAAGTACAACAAAAACATTATTATGTTAGATTAAATTTTGCCTCTTAAATAAAAAAAATTGTCAAATAAGTCAGTAGTTTAAGTAAGATCACTTTTGAGATTTTATTTTTGAGATTTTGATAATTTACCACAGTAAACCCCGTGATTTAATAATACTGAAACAAATTGTGATCACATTTTTTTGATTTTCCCATATTCCTTGCATTAAAATTATTTAACTCAACGCAAGATCGGATTCCATTAAAAAAATAAGTTTCATTTGATATATCAATCACTCTAATATTTTATCGTGTTCCTGAGTTAAACCACGAAAACAGTAGATCATTTTTCTTATAAAATTTAAGTCTTACAATTACCGACTTATTTGCTCGGGGACGGCGAATTCTCCAAATGATGTACAATAACTAAGGACTTAAAACTTTGAAGTGGTGGTGTATCCCATGCCACCTACATCCATAGACTTCCCGCATGTCTTACTAGGTCGTCACTAGATTTTTTATAGATTTGTAATGATTTAACTATCATGTTTCCTGAGAGTTAAGAGGCGACAGACGAAAAATTAAACGGGAGATGGGCAGCAGCATTTTCCTAATAACAACCCAAAATAAAAAAGATGCAGTTGATAAGTATAAAATTATTAATAAAATTAAAAAAAAAAACATTATAAAACCTACACAAAACACAAAATACAACTTTAAGTATCCACTAAGATGGCTTTCTAAGTAAAAAATTTTATCTGCATCAGATCGATCATCACCATCATCATTATATCCCTTCACAAGTCCACTGCCGAACGTAGGTCTCCCCTAAGGAGTGCCAAGAAGCACGGTCCCGTGCCACCTGCATCCATTGAACCGAGTCTTCACTCCACTTAGTGGGGGAACGCCCTACACTTCGTCTGCCGGTACGTGGCTGCCACTCGCGAACCTTTCTTCATCATCGCTTGTTGGTTCTTTGAGCTACATGGTTGGTCCATTGCAACTGCAGCTTACTAATCTTATGTCAGTTACTCTGGTTCTACTCCGGATTTCCTCATTTTTAAGTCTATCATACAGAGAAATCCCGAGCATAGCCTGGTGCTTTCTCATGCAGCCAGTAATGAAGGACCAAGTTTCATGCTCCATAAGTCATCACTGGCAACAAGCACTCGTTGTATTATCTCGTTTTCAAAATTTGAGGTATATCTGACGGAAAAATATATGTCGTAATTTCCCGAACACTGCCCAGCTGAGTTGAATAAATAGTACGTTAACTTCTCGGTCGAAGTTGGACTTACCTAGTCGGACTATTTGTTCCAAGTAAACATACTTTGTCAATAGTGCTCCCAACAATTACCAGCATAGGTGTGTCATGGTCGTTACACATAATCTTTGTTTTGTCCAGGTTCATCTTAGGACCCATCCGTTGGAAGGCACTATTGAGGTCATTGAGCTCGAGCTCGTCGCCATTTTTTTTAAATATTAGTAATCCTACTAATTAACATTACTAATATTCCCTTTAACCCCTCCTGGTAAGCTGAAAATGCTTGTGTTAGGAGTGGTTCACGCCAGTAGTCGAATGGTTGATTCGAACCCACGACCTTTTGAGTTCGCGGTCCGCGCCCTGCCATTAGGCTACTGTCTCTTCATTTCGCCATTGATATTAATATCGTATCCTTTCCAGTCCACAAGCTTGAAAACGTCCTCCAATACAGCGTTGAAGAGTCTCGGGGAGATAACGTCACCCCGTCTTACATCTACTAGGATAGCCATCGTATCGCTACTGTACAATCATTGTACCACAACGATGTACGAACGGCGAGTGGAAGAAGTGGTGATTAATATTGTTTGTTAAGGGAATTCGTGAAGATAAACGGGCGTGTATTAGCAGGACTGGCAGTGTTGGCACGCCTATAAAATACTCGTTAGATCGAGAGTAAAAATGTTTTACTTTAGCGAAGCGACGTATCCTTGGTAACGTGGCAACCGTTGTGGTTTTTAAGAAAACAATCATGGGGAAGCATATCATATATTTGCGACGGACTCCTAACGATCTGCTTATTGTAACACACTCATATGTGGACCACCCCTCTAGCGTGCATCTTTTTTTTATAGAATGGGTGTGACAAACGAGCACTCGGTGTCAATCTGACAGTAAGTGGATGCTGTGGCCCACAGACATCTATAATTATCTTCGATTAAGAATCAAAATGCGGATGTGTCGTCACCCCTGAGGACTAAGATGAAATATCTCGTTTTTCCAGTAAAAAAAAGTCTCCGGATCTCTTCACTCACCGTACGAAACACAGCAGTATTAAGCTGCTATTTTACGCTGGTACTCTGGGAGAGCGTGATCCTTCCGCGGTCGAGCCGACCCATTCGTGCTACAACCATAATATGCAGCGTGGCTCTAATACGTATAAAAATAAAAATCTTTGTGAAAAAGAAGCTACAGTAATATTATTCTCTTACACAATAGATATAGTAAATTTTCTGTTCGATACAGATAGGCTCTTGAACGATTTAATTATGAAAATATATAAATTATATAAGTGCTATATACATATGTCACTGTTTGTTTTGGAATAGTGATGATGTTCTTTTGTTCTTCCTTTTCTTCTTCATAATCCTGAAGTCTACTTGCTGCACATGGGCCTCTCTGCTAGTATAGAGTCACGATTGGCGTTTGGCAGATTAGTTTAGTTACTTATTATAGTTAAAAAATAACCAAAAACTTAAGTTTAAACATAACCAAAACCGTCAGATTTTGGGTTTGCTTAAATTGGCTCACTACAATAACTATAAAGACAAAACTATTAAAAAACTAACTCAAACAGAAAAAAATCGCGCGATCTAAGTCATGGGTACAGATAGTATACCTATCATATATGTGCGAGAAGATAATATAATGGCAATTACTAAAGCCATTGGAAGCCTACAGAAATCTGAAAAATGTGGTATAATTACTACAATTAATAAAAATAACATTAATTGTTATTTTTATTAAAAAAAGCTTAAAAGTGTTTTTTACATTCCTATATCATCCTTAAGTTTTCGATACAGGAAAACATCCTAGCCTTTGACACATTGTGCAGAAAGTGTATAATATTGTTGCAATTTTTCGTAATTAAGGTCTCTGTCTTAGAACTACTACTATGCTCAATGACCTCAATAGTGCCTCCCAACGGATAGGTCTTAAGATGAACATTGACAAAACAAAGATCATGTTTAATGACCATGTCACACCTATGCCGGTCGTTGTTGGGAACACTAAGCTCGAAGTTGTTGACGAATACGTTTACCTGGGACAATTAGTCCGACTAGGTAAGTCCAACTTCGACCGAGAGGTCAATCGATGGATTCAACTTGGCTGGGCAGCGTTCGGGAAATTACGACACATCTTCTCATCAGGTATACCTCAAAACCTGAAAACTAAGCTGTACAACCAGTGCGTGTTGCCAGTGATGACCTACGGAACCGAGACGTGGTCCTTCAGTGTTGGCCGTATGAGGACACTCAAAGTCGCTCAGTGAGCTATGGAGAGGGCTATGCTCGGAGTATCTCTGCGTGATAAACTTAAAAATGAGGATATCCGCACAGAACCAGAATGACCGACATAGCCCAACGGATTAGTAAGCTGAAGTGGCAATGGGCCGGCCATATAGCTCGAAAAATCGACAACCGTTGGGGAAAAAAGGTTCTCGAGTGGCAGCCTCGTACCGGTAGGCGAAGTGTAGGGGGACCCCCACTAGATGGAGTGACGACCTAGTAAGACATGCAGGAAGTCGATGGATGCAGGTGGCTCAGGACCGTGCTTTGTGGCATACCTTGGGGGAGGCCTATGTTCAGCAGTGGACTTGTGAAGGGCTGTAATGATGATGATGATGATGAAGGTCTCTATAAACCACCAGGAATTCTTTTTGCAGGTTAATTGTGACGATCATTACTTAATGAGGTAAGAAGAAATACATCCATTTTTTCCCTTAGGTATTTAATATTTAATTAAATGGATAAAAAATTATGAAAACTTATTTAGCATTAAAATTAGGTAACTGTTGAGGTATTAAAGCAAAAAGACAAGATGAATAAACTACTGTAATAATTATCATAAAAATAAAATTTATACTGCAAGCAAAATCAGTCCAAACGTCTTTAATTTTGATCTCTTCACTATCACAGATGTCACCGGCAACATTCCATGTAAGCCAAACTAAATATTTTCCGTGCCGTTTAGCAATTATTTCATTAAATATTGCAATAAAATTAGGAGCTGGGCTTGTTTTTCTACAAAGATAACACAAAAAATAAGTAATTCCGATGCCTAATAATGTTAAAATTATTGAAGTAAGTAAGTAAATCAAAACCGTTGGTATGTCTGAAACGTTTCTTTGTATATATGTACTAATTTTTCGCAAAAACAAAAATTGGTTTAGTAAACTAAAATATAAAAGACCTAAACGAGTTTTATCATTTACATCAATAACCATACACAAAAGTGTCAATATTGATAACGCAAGTGAAGGTGCTAAGATAACTGCAGCAAGTCCAACACCTTGTCGCTCCAAGATGAAATTAAGGTAAAATTCTACTGAAGATTTAAGATCTTCGCCACTCGAAAAATCTATTATATTCCAACCTGAACCATATTTAGCACCTTTCATGCTTATAACACGCGAAGAATTAAACGTAAAAGTAACTCGATTTAGTTTAGATCTTGAACCAAATTTGAACGTGCAATTCAGAGTATCGTAGGGCCAATCTGCAAATTTTGAACGACACGCCGTTTGGTAAACAAATCTTGGAATACATTCTACTTGTCCATTGCTCGTTACTCGACATAGCAACGGTGGTAGGTCAATTAAGAAAACATCAATACCATCTTCATAAGCTATAGTAAAAATCTTAAGACTTGGATTCCAAATTATAAGACTTGAAAGCAGCACTTCTGTAATACCATCATAACTTTTAGGGTTCCACGTAAGCCTTGAATCGTTCCAGCGAAGAAAAAGCCAAGAGTCCATGGTAACAATTTCTTCTTTATCATCAAAGTAGAATGAATTAAGCATGAACTTCAAAGAAACTTGTGTATTGTTGGCATCAGGCGATAGAAGTTTATTATAATTAGAAAGTAAATCTTTACGTAGCTCCCGATCCCATGGTAAGCTAGGAAAACGATTCTCCATCACACAACCTACACATTTTAATAAAAATAAAAGAATAAATAGCGGTACACTTGAAAACACAGTCATTTTAGCAATAAAATGGTTAATAACTGCTTTGTTCTTGATTAACTTAATACGCCCCTCTGTTATGGTAACAAGTTTCGCTGATAACAAAACATGTACTATTAATATTGTAAAAGAGATAGTGTGTTTGCTCGTATTTCAGGATTGTGTTTCATACAGCAACGGAATGAAAAACGGGGGAACGGATTATGATGAAATTTGATACAGACAATTTTTAAGGCCTGAAATAACATATGACATATAACAAATAACATATTACATATATACATTGAATAAAACTATATTTACGGACTCTACCGCGTTAAATTAACTATTTTAACTTATTTTTAATTCCTGACGTTTTGGGTGCTGTAAAGCGGAAACCATTGTTGTTTTTGAGAAAAACGTCTTCGGGTAGCATAATTAACGTGACCATACGTCCCACTTTCCCCATTTAAAGGCTTGTGTCCCGCTGTCCCTAAAATACGTAAAAATGTCCCGCTTGACAGATAATAACGTAGCATCATGCAAACTGTCACACGTGCCATCATTATAATACTGCGGTTACCACTGCAGTTATGTTTTTAGTATAGTTGTACCACGAATGGGTCGGCTTGAATGGGGAAGGACCACGCCCTCCCAGAATACCAACGTAGAATAGTAGCTTAATGCAGCTGTGTTATACTGGAAACGAGGCATTCCATCTTAGTCCTCACAGGTGACAACACATCTGCATTTTGGTTCGTAATCGAGAATAGATGATGATGTCATGGGCCACAGCAACCATTTACCACTAGGTAGTCCACCTAGTGTTGTAGTGGTGTGCTCGTTTCATCACCCTAACCTATAAAAATACTCACATTATTGTGGATGGTTAACTGTATTTCGCCTGACATGGTGGATTAACTTATATGTGCTGAGATACCAAATAAAAATTAAGATCCTATTTTATACAACATAATTAAAAATAATACAATACACAGTGCATGGGCAAACGTAATAAATAATTCTCCAACAAATGTAGCAAAAAATATCCCAGACAATTTTTGAAAGATACACAAACAGATGACGATGGTTACACACAGTACAGAAGACGATCTCTGACTTACGGTGGCTTTGCACTTATATTAAAAGACACTGAAGTAGAAAATAAATGGGTCGTCCCCTATAAGATAGAGGAAGCAGCCTTAGGCGCTGGCAACGCTAGAGCGACTGCAGAAGGCGTGAAGACGCCGGGCGTTGGCGATGTAGTATGCCACATTGAGGCGACTGCATGACATCTGGTATCTTTTTGCTATTTTTGCGCGAGTTAAAAATGAGGTTTTCTAAATTGGTACTTTCATGTATAGAAACGGAGTAGTTTTTGTTTTCACAAGATATAATGCAAATTAAAATAGGAGTCCATGATTTACCCTAAAACAGGCATGAGTTTTCTGAATATCGGTAGACTGTATGAAAAAATACGTCGATACTCACACATATTATATGTATTTTTTCCGCTCATCGCAAACGCAAGACGCGTTGCGCTAGCGTGGTGATGTTTAATATGGTGAATAGCATTCTGTCAGATTACTGACGCACTAAGTCTTTGGGTAATATACAGGGATAGCCTAGCAGAAGACTACGAACGACAAGTGGAAAGGTTTTCTGGCGTTATAGATGAACCTCTAGCAGATGAAATCTACAATAAATGTTTGGTCACAATAGGGGAAGCTGTCCATCGATCCGTCGACTCAGTGATAAACACTGATGATGCCATTCATTATCCAGTCGAGTTCCTGAATACACTGAAGCCTGCCGGTCTCTCAACTCACATATTAAAATTGAAAGTTGGCGCGCCAGTTATATTACAGCGAAATGTAAATCCACCAAAATTATGCAATGGCATCAGATTGCAAGTGAAAAAATTGCATCGCAATGTTATTGAGGCAACTATACTGACGGGTTGTTCTCGAGGAGAGTCTGTATTTAATCCTAGGATTTCAACAAACATAGGAAACATCAACAAATTACTCCTTCGAATTCAAGAGAGTGCAGTTTCCTATCAAAGTCTGATTCGCCATAATCATAAACTTAAGGTCAAACTCTTAAGGTAACTCTTAAGGGAGTTGACTTGAGAGAAAGCTGTTTCTCCCACGGTCAGTTGCATGTTACATGCTCCAGAGTAAGCGCACAGAGTAGCCTGGCGATTCAAGCCCCCGAAGGAAAACAAAAAATATTGTTTACAAAGAAATACTGCGGTAGGTGTAGTATTTCAATTTCGTTGTAAAAAGATAATACCCCCCGTGTCACTTTCACCAGATCAAAGGCCGAGCTTCGTGTGCATAAGATATAAGAAAATTTTATCTTATTTTTATGTTTATTTAACCTTTAAATCCCTATACTATTATAAAGATTGTTATATTTTATAAGTATTCAAATATTTCAAAATAATAATTTATATGTTATTACAAAATTAATAACGTAAAAACCAATTAAAAATCCTACTAGGACCATCTTCTATTACACGGATGAATTCACAGGCAAAAAGCTAGTACTGTATATAACTTTATAAGTACGATAGACATTTGATACTATTTGTATTGGAATGGATGGTGTTCTTATTTTTTGCACCTCTGCTTGAGCAAACACTCGTGCACTATAATCCTATCCAGCACAGATGGTTAGTTTGCTTTGCGACTGGCCACTGTGACCGAAATTCGGCCAGGAGAACATTAGATTAGACTACTCCATTTGAGATGATTTGCTTTACCCGTCACGATTGGAATTTGGCAAATTGCAGATTTTTGTTATAGGTACTCGTATTGATACAAAACTTTCGGCGGAAGAAATTAAAAATTTACTCTGCTTTAAAATAATAACAGAAAAGAAGTCACGGGCACAACTAGTTTATTATTTATGCATGTGGAGATTATACAATTCATTATTTACTAATTTATTTTATATATATATATATATATATATATATATATATATATATATATATATATATATATATATATATATATATATATTAGCAGGCAGGCAGTTGAGACAATATCCTGTTTGTGACCACTAGTTACTTCATTTGCAGTTAAAAAAATGATTATCTAATCTATATTTCAATTGGTTCACATTTTGGGCTGAGATTAAACTTCTCTGTCATCGTATTTTACTCTGTAACTACATGGTTACAAATGAAGTGGATGTGAGGGTTGTTGCTTGAAAAGCTGATACATAATTTAAGATGGTGGCCCCGGAGGTGAGTGTTGTCATTATGAATAAGCAATTTTTCAATCGTTATGCTCACTTAAGATCTTCAAGGATTCGTTTAAATCTCCTCGGTCCCAGCGGTTAATGTTGTAAGTTTTAAAACTTTCAAACGTACTAAGACTGCCGTTTCAAGCCGTGGTACTTTAGTTAAGCTACGCTGTACTTTTTCAAAGCTTCAATGTCCTTGATAAAGTAGGGGTTCCAGGCTTGAAGATTTCCAGACTGTGACACTCCACTATATATTTCTATGTCATCGAACTGCGTTTCACCAATTCTTACTTGTAGGGGTCTGCCACGCAAAAAAGACTCAATCCAAGCCAGTAATTTCCCACGTATTCCTACGTATTCCAGTTTCTGGAGGAGTCTTCTCGTAGGGACTTTACCGCAGGCCTTTTCGTAGTCAGGATAAATTACGTCAATAGGCTCTCTCTCGCTGAAGTATTTGTTACCATTTTTTAAATGTGGATGTCACCAATGCTGTTTTCCATGAGTCCAGTAAGATGTATGTCTCGTACGATGTCAGCATCATTACTGTTAAATAGTGAGGTAGGTTGCATTTCTTCAATATAACTAATATAGCTACTGGTAGATATATAAAGAATAGGTTATGTCAAATTTTGAAGCCAGGTTTGGGAATCTAAGTAATTATACAATAATAATACAATTAATAAAAAGAAGAAGTAAGTGAGCAGCTTACAAGTATTGGCGATGAAAGTCATCTAAATATTATTTATTTCATTCATCCTATATAATTCATAAGTTGTCGTACAGGAAAATATCCCAACCTTCTTGTGTCTATATAATATTATTGCTAATTTCCCTACATATAGAAAGATTGCAAGCAAATTAAAGTAGGAAATTACGTAACGAGTAAAGGAAAATTATATTTTTTCCCCTAAATATTTAGTAATAATTAAGTAACAAAATTGAAGAAAAAAAAAAACAGAAACATGCGCTTATTTTACATTAAAATCAGATTGCTCTTGAGGTATTAAAGCAAAAAAAGATGAAACGTAAGCTACAGTTATAATTATCATGAAAATAAAATTTGTTATGCTAGCAAAATCAGTCCAGACGTCTTTAATATCGACATCTTCATTATCATCGACGTTTTCACCAGTATTCCATTTAGGCCAAATTAAATATTTTCCATATCGTCCAGTAAGTTTTTGGTTAAATATTTCAATAAAATTAGGAGCTGGGCTTGTTTTTCTACGAATGTAACACAAAAAATAAGTAATTCCAATGGCTAATAGTGTCAAAATTATTGAAGTACGTAGGTAAAGTAAAACTGTTGGTGTTTCTGAGATTTTTTTAGGTATATCACTGCTAATTTTTCGCAAAAACGAAAATTGGCTTAGTAAACTAAAACAAAGAAGACCTAAACGAATTTTATCATTGACATTAAGTACCATACACAAAACTGTCAAAATTGATAACACAAGTGAAGGTACTAAGATAACTGCAGCAAGTCCAACGCCTTGTCGCTCCAAAATGAAATTGAAGTAAAATTTTACGGTAGATTTTGGATCTTCGCCACTTGAAAAATTTCTTATACTCCACCCTGAACAATATTCAGCACCTAGCATGCTCATAGCACGTGATGAATTGAAGGTAAAACTAACTTGATTAAGTTTAGATCTTGAACCAAATTTGAACGTGCAATTCAGGGTATCGTAGGGCCAATCTCTTAATTTTGAACTGCA